TCAGCGAACGTCGCTTAAACAATCGGAGTCACAGGCTCCAACCTAGTTAAGGCCGGCCACCACTAACCTAATCACGGTCTGAATGTTTTAACCAATAGGCCCTAAATGTTTATATTTTTGCTCCTACAGTCAAACGAACCCCTATTAAGCGGCCACCTATTAGACAGACACCCCTATTAGGCGGCAAGTAATTAAAGTCCCGATGAGGGCTTTTCTATTGTTTTTAGTTAAACGGCCAGCCCCCTTTCAGCGGTCACTATCCATTTCTTCGAGGGTGGCCGTTTAATAAGGTTGAACTACATAGTAAACAAAAAGTGTCTTCTGTTTTTTTTTTCTTAGATTATGTGCGTATTGTTCTAAACATAGCAGCCTTCACTGGCATCCTGTCCAAGCCTTTTTTAACCATTGCTCTTCATTTTACTGGTGGAATTCTCCTAGATATTGTTGATGGAGTGTCAGCGCGGTACCTCAATCAATGTTAGTTTGAACATCATTTAATTTTGTATAATTTCCACCCCCTTCCTCAATCCCCTTCCATACCCAGACTCAACGAGGAGTCCCCCTTTCGCTTAGTCCAACGGGCGTGACCGTAACTAGATCTATATAATTATAAACTGGGCCGAGAAAATGGCCGCGCGACATTCTGGGATCGAGAAGCGCTCGAAATGATTTATATTACTGGTGTAACAATTTCCTAACAAGTTGAGCTCCAGGTTTCGACTTCAAGAATGTTTTTACTACTGAAAGATGCGTTTAGTAGCACTGTCAAGATTTGCTAAAATAATCTGACTTGTTATATCATTACAAATAATGTTGTTACTACTGAAAGATGCGTTTAGTAGCACTTTCAAGATCTGCGAAAAAATTCTGACTTGTTATATCATTACAAATAATGCTGTTACTACTGAAAGACGCGTTTAGTAGCACTTTCAAGATTTGTTAAAAAATCTTACTTGTTATATCATTACAAATAATGTTGTTACTACTGAAAGACGCGTTTAGTAGTACTTTCAAGATTTGTTAAAAAATCTTACTTGTTATATCATTACAAATAATGTTGTTACTACTGAAAGATGCGTTTAGAAGCACTTTCAAGATTTGCTAAAAAAAAGTCTTACTTGTTATATATATCATTACAAATAATTATTTTACCAGTTAAGCTCAATTAAGTTTTATTCTTATGGAGATCTGCTTGATAAACTTCTGGACAGGTGGGTTACAGTGCTGCGTACCCAGGAGGGGAAGGGATGAGGTACTTAGCTATAATAGTAACGGGGAGATGCAAAGCCTGGTTTTTGGGTTTAATTTTGCCATCTGAGTGGAGGACTCTTTCAGTTAGGAAAATTTTTTTGGGGGGGGTGTCTTGTTTAAGCTGCGTTTTTCAGGCGGGAGGGGATCACTTGTACAGCTGAGCACCCTCTAGGTGGAATTGCGCCCCCTACCATTGCAAAACGCGCTTTTTCGCCTTGGCGCGTCCATGTTTGCTCTCGTACTTTCTTTCGCGTCTCGCTCGACTGCTCGACAGCTTTCGTTGCCGTGATGGTATTGTTAACCGCGAACTTCATTTTGAAGGGAAAAGCGCCCCACAGACGAAGTTGACATTTGTAACTAAGATCCGTTAAAATATATCTAAGATTTATTTTATAACAAAAGAAATAAATCTCAGTTACAAATTAGTCATTTGCTGGGAAATATTAAATATGCAAGAGTACACTACTTTACTTGTTACATTGTTATGACTGACAGGTGTGGAAGAATAGGAATGATGATGGTTTGTGCGTTTGTTACCCTCAGTACTTGTTTGTTCTTCAGTTGTTTGTCATCTTAGAAGTAGCAGGTTCCTGGACAAATCATTACAGTTAATGTAAGACCACTTTGTTGCCTGTTTATGTCTGGAAGCAATAACCAGTTTGGGGTGGGGTGGGGTGAGGAAGGGGCTGTTATCGGAAGAAACGAAGCAAAATTTCCATAAAATCTTTATGGAGCTAATTACCTAAATGTGTGTTGAAAGTAAATGCAAATGGCGATGATGACGACTTAACTGAAGAATGATCGAATGAATAAGATGTAGTTTCAGGAGAAAACTGTACGATGGCTAGCATATTGAAAACTGTCCAAACAAATATAAAACAAACCAAGTTCTGGTCAAACTACTATCAAGCGTGCATTTCTGAACATAGGCTATAACAAAGTCTAGTTGCCCGACTTGTTTTCAAATGGGTTAGGTCAATGCTGTTTATTCTGTTTACTGTGAGTTCTAAACTTTAAAATAACTGAGCAGCAGTCTTTTAGCGGCAAAATTTCGGCCACATATCAAAGAAGAACGATTTCCAAGTATTATAAATAATGCTTCTATACATAATTGACGTAATGTACAATTTCGCCCATCCATGCTCCTTTTTGGCACTTATTTGTTTCTTCTAAGTTCCTCTACAGAACGAAGATATGACCTAACCACGAACGTCTAACAATATTAATGCTTAATGTTCCAGTGTTTTTGTTCTACTCACAACAGATGTACCCTGGTGAAGCATGCAGATAACAACAATTCACTCTGTTATAATCCCTGCTTGATGAGGATTTACTTTGAGGAAGTAAGAGCAACATGTGACACACTTCAAAAGCGGGATTCATTAGTGGTCTACGCTTTCATTTTTGGAAGTTGGTGGTGTCGGGTTGGGACAATGCCTTATTTCCAGGTTATTTTTCAGGGGAAGACGGACCTTGGCCCTATATAGACGAAGGGACAATTTACACGTTGTACTTAGAATTTAATTTGTATTAATGAGTTATAATTAATTTATAATTTATTAGAAAACTATTATTAGAAAGCGAGTGCAAAAAGCAGTCATTCTGTAACTTGGTGGAAAACGCATACAATATCGATAGAATTCTTGAGCTCATATTAATCTTGGTATCATGAAGTCGGAAAGACAGTAGAAGCACTCGCCTGCAGCTTTTTATAGTTCTCCCAAACTTTCACTTGTGTTTCTATTTAGCACTAAGATTTGTATGAGTTCGTGCGCGTGACACAAACTTTGGGTTGTTCGTTGGTTGCACGGCAGCGTGACTCTTGACGTCCTAGAACCTTCGCCGAGTTAGTACTTATTCAAAAAGAAAGCTTTTGTTTTCCTTGGAGATCCTGGTACCTTCCGCATGCCAAGCGGGCGCTCTACCATTTAAGCTAATTCCCCGGAAGTAAGTTGAGGAGGCGCGGTGCGCGCGGTGGCCTCATGGTTAGTGCGTTCGTCTCCGGATCGAGCGGTCCGGGTTCGAACCTGGCCGGCTGGACATTGTGTTGTGTTCTTCGGAAAGACACTTTACTCTCACAGTGCCTCTCTCAACCCAGCTGTACAAATGGGTATCAGCGAATTTAATGCTGGGGGTAACCCTGCAATGGACTAGCATCCCATCCAGGGGAGAATAGAAATACTCCTAGTCGCTTCTTGCTACAGAAACCGGGATGAGTTCCGGCCTAATGGGCCACTTGGCTCGTATGCAGACGTCACCTTATAAGTAAGTTATTCCATTCGCGTTTTTTGGATCACTGAGATGTATGTGACCTAAATGGCGCTTGAACTTGTCTTGGTGATTGCTTCTCACCTCCTATCCAACACACTTTCACGGAGCAATTGTGAAACTTCTAAATGTGTACTTTTAATATTTCCAACAGCCCTTCTTGATCCTGATCATATTTGGTCAAGACATCTGCGTGGCCATGTTGTACCTTCTTCACTTTTCACCTGGACCAACAGGCATGCAAAAACATATCGTCTTTGATTGCGTTGCTATGTATCTTGATTTTTCCCCAACAATTTGCGCGCGCGCTCTCATTGGCTTATCGAGGTACATTAATGGAACTGTTTTTCGCCAAAAGTCTCATTGCCAAAAATTTATGACGTCATTGGGTATTAGCTGTACTGTCACCCGTGTACTGTTGACCAACGACCTCTGTTTTCACATTGGATCTTCTTGTCATCGGAAACCAAAATTAACCGCGTAAGTGTTTTATCGTTGAAGACTTGCTTTTTGTAACTTCCATGAACTTTTTTTCAGTATCATTTGCCGGAACCTCCTACAGTTTATGGGTACTGCTGGCGTGGATTGGTGCTCCAGTCTTGATCTACAGACAAGTCGTTGTCCACGGGCTTATGGTCATTAACTCATTTAGCGACCTCGCTCGGTTACACGACCAAGCGGAGGACTCCATAGTCGAGAAACAATATCGGAAATCTAAATAACAGAAACCTCAAACGGTCGGCTGGTCATAAGCAACTTTATTTTGGATAGTTACCACAACATTCTTGTATACTGGAGTTTCTGGGTCTTTACAAGTTAGTCTATTTATTCCATTATTTACTATTTATTGCACTCACTTTGAAGAATCCTGAAAATTCTCAAGAAATGCCAAAGCAAGCTTGACTGTCTGATTTTGAAATGGTTTTTATTAGGATTTAAAGCCGAAACTCAACAAACAATGTGACTCGCTCCGTGCGAAAGTATTTGTTTAGGTTTTTGGCTTCAACGCTTTTTAATTCTCTCCACCTTTATTTTATAGCTTGTAATTATAATTTTATATGTTATTTTATTTAAGGCTGAAATTATTGTTAGGATAGTTTTACAGGGACGGAGTTAAAAAGTCGGCCGGTGTATAACACAGACTGTGGACTGCAAACTGCAAACTACAGACCGGGGGTGAAATGCAGAGTGAGGGTAAATTACATGCGGACTGCACACAGGCAGACTTTTCAAGCGTATCGTCAGTGTTACCATTTCCATTATCGAGAGTTAACCTTGGAAATAACACAATACGTACTTAAAAAGTCTGTAGTCTGCGGTCTGCATTTCATCCTCGGTCTGCAGTCTGCATTTCACCCTCAGTCTACAACTGATCCCCGGTTTTACAATGACCGGTCGGTTAACGGTAAAGTTGTCTTCAATACCCACGCAAATGCATACTTAAAACAATCCTTCTTGAGTGGTGTAAACCTTTGCATGCTCGCTTGCATTCATACGGTTAACTTCTTATCTCACACACCATCAGCAAGGGTGCATTAAGGTGGAGCGATATTTTTGCTTTTGTTTTTTCTTGAACTGGTCCGGTTTCAGGCTCCATTCTCGTTCCCTACCAACATGCCCAAAAACGGGCACAACTGAAAATGCTTGGATTATGAACAATTGTTGGACGGGAGAGCAAAATATGATTTCAAGGCAGTTTGTTCAAATTTCTTCAAACCCTCTTAAGATTTCTTAAATGATGTCAAATTCCCCGCCCCAGTATATTGAGCACCCTCTTATGTCAAATTCCCCCTCCCGGCTATAGGCACAAGAAAGAGTCGAATGCCTGGGAGTATGCCAATCGGTTGAAGTTGATGTATCCGACTGTTTTAAGCTGATGGTTGATCATACATCGCGGGTAGTCTTTTCTTTAGTCCGGTATATAAGCTGATAAGATAGACTACGATTAGTCCGTCTTTTGCTTAGTCCGTCGCCAAGTGTGCGACGCGAAAGAAAACCGTGAAAAAAAAAAATGGCCGCGCGAAAGAAGCGCGCTCACCATCAGGATTTCGTGCGACCTTTATTTCCTCGTGGTTCATTTACGGTCACGCTTGAAGGACCAATTAAAAGCGGAAAACGGACGACTCGTAGTCTAGGAAAAAGACATCTTAGTGTATGTGCTTTTCAGCCTGTTCATCGACCTTCTTTCCACTCGCCGCTTTTCGTACTACCGCTCCCCAGCTTGAAAGAAAAGAACATTTTTACAGTTCACTCGCCGTAAAGAAATTAAAAGACTGCTAACAATCTATCTTATGCAATTTTCAGTTTCAAGGAATTGAACCTCCTTGCTTTTCACCTCAAATGCCTCGTACTCACGTCTAGAATTCCCCCTCCTCTATCTCCCGGCTCTATCTCCCTTCCCCTCTTCATCCTTCTCTTCATCCCTCCTTTCTTCGGCCATTTTCACCTCCGTCCTAGTTTATTTTTGATGTATGCAACAGTCTTTACTCTTTTAACATGAATGGCAGAAATAAAACAACTCTGAACTAACAGAGACAGCTGAAGATCTAGCCGAGGACCCTGGGAACGAAGTTCACTTCCTTCGAAGGAAGAGCCTGCAATAATATCTCCTTGGTCAGCAGTTACCACTTACACCTCAAAGAAAGAAAGAAGAAAGGAAGAAGAAAGCGTAAATTTCACGTGTTGGACTTTTTGCCTTGGAGAAGTTTTACTGTTTCATTCGTTTACCATAAGATAAACCTCGATCTCTCAGTAATCTTAAGAGGTTTATGAATGCCGCTTTATCGGTAAAGGGCGCAAAATTATTTCTAAACCTCCACTGACAAGTCACTGTAGACACGTGTCACCGAGTTGTACTAATACTAGCTTTTCACAATCTTCAACCGGCAATATGACCAGTTTGTGGATGGGAGATGTAAGTCACAAATCGCATGACAAATCTTGTTAGTTTTAACAATAGAAGGTCGGGATTTTTGATTAAATGTGCACTAGACAAGGGTTTTGTGCGGTTTACTTAAAGTCTCGATCTTTGACAGCTCGACACTTACATGGATGAAGCATTCATCACCAGTGCTTTCGCAGCGATGGGAGAGGCAGTTTCGTCGGTGAAGATGATCAAGAACAGGGCCACAGGGTAACGTATTACACGTACATTTTAACGTAATCTAGTTGTAACTATCTTATGCTATATGGCGAAGTCACGTGCCAGAAAGAAAATGCTGGTCCCAAGGGAAAACGGTGGGTGAGACCCTCAGTGTTCACCCCGCCCAGGTGGAGGGTGAGAGTCCAGGGGAAAAGACATTCAATCTTTCCTGTGCGAGCAGTCCAGATTATTTAATTCAGCATTGATGATGGCATGAAATTTTGCCACAATCACACAGCTTGGAGAACCAGTCCTGGTTTTGACAAATTGTTCTTGCAGCTCTCTTTGATATTCAGGTATTCACTATCCAGTAAACTAAAACAGATAGCATCTGACTGAAACACTCAATAATTCGTTGTCATAAATTGTTATATCATCATGGCACAACCAGTAAGGTTGCATAGAAACACTGCTGGCTCAGTCTGATCTTGGAGACAGGAATTTTCCATTAAGGACATTCACGTGAAAATTTTCAAGTCAACAGTTTTTCTTCTAAATTTTTATTGCAGTCAGATAATGAGTTACTTGTGTTAGGAATGCAAAAAATGTTGCCAACGTTTTCACAAAACTTAACCCTTCAAGAGGCATTTGAAACCACCGTACAGATAAACAAAGAGTTAAAATCATCAGAATTTGATGGTGCATTTTGTGAAAAAATGCAAACTTCTAATCAATAGATTTTCTTCATTTTTTCACAAAACGTATATAATAGATCAAGGGCTAACCCAGAGTTCAAACAGTTGTTATCATAGGAAGTTAACATCTTTGTTTTCCTGCAGAGCTACACATATTTGTTTTAGTATAGTATGTTGGCATGTCACATGTACATGTTAATGTCATGAAATATGTTCTTGAAGCTTTAGTTTTCTTTTTACTCCAGGGCTCAGTATGCAACACATATCAGCTTTGTGTTTTTTTTCTTTTTCAGGACTCCAGCTGGGTACTGTTTTGTTGACTTTGGTGACTATGCAGGATCACAGAAAGTCATGGCTAAATTAAATGGATTGCCAATTCCTGGAAGCAATCCTGTAAGTAGATCTCAAGACCTTTTATATATATCGTGTTGCTTCAGAAAAATATAGAAGTTTTCTTTTTTTGTATTGAACCTTATGCCTCTGAAAATACCAATTTAACTTCCTACTTTCCTTTTACGTAAATCCTTGAATTAGCACCTCCCCTCAAATAAGTGCCCTCTTCGAATACATGTAAGCGCCCCCCCTGTTGGCCAAAATTTAAAATAAGTACCTCTCCTCAAATAAGCGCCCCATTCCCCTTGGCGTTTTTTGTGGAAGAGTACTGAGACAACAGAAGATGTATAGTATTGGCCATGTTTATTCACAAGCAAGTGATTATCGACTCATTCAAGTACTGCACATTGACCATCGCAATGGATGGTAGTGAAGATCGGCTAATTCATTGCTTAAAGACCTTTTGCAGGAGGCAAGAGAGACAGGATCCTTCTGAGACTTCTGAGGGACTGACACATACATTTATTACAAAAAACTGATCACATCTGAACACGATTTGGGGAAAATTAAATAAGCGCCCCCCTCGATTAAGTGCCTCCCTCAAATAAATGCCCCTGCCTAAATTTGAAATAAGCACCCCAGGTGCTAATTCGAGGATTTACAGTATTTCAGTTTTGACTTTTCAAATTTTCCTCTCTCTCAGAAATGTCAATGGCCTTGGGGTGGATGTGAATATTTTTTGTAACTGCATATGTCGCAGTTTTCTCTTATTAATCGTGTGGAGATGTCTTGAAAAATGAAAAAAAGAATATGATTACATAGACAAGAAATAGACAAAATTCAGATAATTATTAAAAAATGTAACATGAGATCCAGTCTTTCCCAGAAAATTTTTTATTCCATTTACCTCTAAAACTTTCAGTTATATTTATCTATAACAATGTTTTCAGAAATGTGAACAATGCAAATCAAATCATGTAAGTTGTTAAATTCAACAATAGGTTACAGTTCCTGTCTTGTAATAAAAAAATGAACATTCTCTACTAATCTTGTGTCACTGCTATCTAAAACATTGTTCAAGAGGGACTTGTCAATAGTTTTATAGTCATTATGATTAAATTATAATAGTGGTTACAACATAATTGTGAGGCAAATAATAGTTTTTCTTTTTTTGTAGATAAAACGATTCAAGTTGAATTGGGCTACTTATGGCAAGGACTCATTTTCCCAGTGAGTAACAGATATATAGCTCTGTTAAGTGTCTTATTTTAGTCTGCTTTCTTGCAACATACCATAGTGTAAACCAAGGACATTTGTTCTTTCAGGGGACCAGAGTATTCAATATTTGTTGGTGACTTGTCTCCTGATGTTACTGACTATGCTCTTCAGGTAATTAAACATTGTAGAATTGATAAGAAATGGTATTACAAGTGGTACAAGGACCAAGCTTTTTTTAAGGCCAGTTTTGGCCGGTTGAGGAGTCAGTGGACTAAAAACAGTCATGTCACATATATGTAACCCTTATCTACCCTAAGGTCCTGGGAACCTGAGCACCTAGGACTAGTAAGAGTATTTTGCATTTGACCAAAACTTCGGTGAATTTGAGACAGAAGCAATTGGTAGGGAAACCTCATGGCAGAGTTTATGAAAATCTGACAACTGTCTAATTTCCAAAATGTGAACCATTCAACAGAGAATGCTCGCAGTTGGAGGGGCAAAATGGATTGGAAAAAAATTTCTCGGATGAAAGATCAGAATTTTTGATCAAATCCGAAGTGCCTCTGGATGTAGAGTCCACTACTCCAGCTATCAGGCCCCTGGACCTTCTGTTGTTTGTGTTCAAAAAATGTGTTTTTAAATTCAATTTTGTGAAAAATGTTTAGAATCATACAATATTGTTGTTTTTTTGTTTTCAATTTTCAGGAGTTTTTCCAGAGACATTTCCCTAGTTGCAAAGCTGCTAAAGGTACTGTGTTAAAAATGAATCCAGAATAATAATGATCTGTGATTGGGCAACCTGAACGTGATTGGACTTCTTGACTTACAGTACATGTATACACACAGTATGCTTAGAGGTGAGAAAGCACATAGGCCATTACCAATGTATTGCTTTTTGCATTGCAGTTGTTTTGGATGCAGCAGGGAACTCAAGGTAAGTTTGAAATGTTATTATAATATATTATTATGTTGCATGAAAAGTAGGTGGTGTCCGCTTTATTGAGAGTCAAAACAATAAAATTGCCATTTTGGTACCATGAAAGTGACTTTAATTCCATAATAGGGAGAGTCCGTAATAGCAGGAGTTATTTCCAGTCAAACCACTATACTGTAGCTTTCACCGGGGACCTGGATTTTGTCGGTGATAGTGAGTGTCCGTAATAGTGGGGTGTCTGCAAGGCGAGAGTTGACTGTAAATGGTTTCAACCCTGGAGTATCCCAATCAGTCACTTGCAGTAACTACATTCAGTTGAATTTAACACACTATTTATGTTTTGCAGAGGATATGGTTTTGTGAGGTTTAGCGATGAAGTGGAACACAGGAAAGCCATGATAGACATGCAAGGAGCTGTAGGGTGTGGTTCAAAACCTTTGCGAGTCAGTGCTGCAACCCCCAAAAGGTACCACATGACATTGTTATCGCTCTGTTTTTTACTCAACCCTTGTAGTACCAAACCTTACCGATATCAATAAATTTATTTGTGGTTCACTGAGGGTCTGAATTACAGTGGTCAATTTAAGACACTCTACTCTAACAGTGCCTCATTCATTAAAGTTCAAATGACAATCGTCAAACGTTGAGTTTCGTAACAACAACACAAACATCTACAATGTAATTGTAATTTGCTACATTACTAGTTTACTGGTGGGGTCAGTGGGGGTAGGCGAGTGCGGTAGTTGTAGTTTCCCTAGTTGCTTTGTTCTCACACAAAATGTTGTATTTATTGTAGCAGACCTCAGAGCAACGCAGGTAATGCAGCCACGTCATACAGCACCGCTAGTGCTGCAAACCAGCAATACATGCAGCAGTACCAGCAATACCAGCAATACCTGGCGGCATGGCAGGGATACCAACATCAGCAACAGCAACAACAGCTACAACAGCAGCAGTACTATCAACACTATCAACATTATCAACCGTACGGACAGACCGCTTACCAGCAACCAACAGTAAGTAAATAAATTTACAATATTTGGAGAGGAAGCCACATCTGTCTTAGCTGGTTTTCATGCATGTGGGTTCTCTAACCTGGTCAAATTGGGATTTGGCAATGTTGGTTTTTGTGGAGGAAAGAAAAGCGGAGAACCTGTAGAAAAGCCAGTGGAGCAAGGCAAGAACCCAACCCACATACGGAACCGGGCCGGAATCAATCCTGGGCCACATTGGTGGGAGGTATCTCACCACTGCACCATCTGCTCTTTTAAGTGTGTAGGGAGTGGGTCAAACACAAATTTAATTTGTTTTGCAGGTTTATCTGCTCCCAACCTAGGTTAATCTGTTTCAACCAGAAGATAACCCTCTAACTTATATTCATGTGAAATCAATTTGAATTCATTACCTTCATCAGGATTGCTAGTGAATGAATTCAAGTTGTTTTCTGTGATTTTGACAGGTTTACCTCAAAACAAGTTGACAGTATACTTTAGAGTGCTAAACCTGTCTTTGTCTTGGCCAGCTCAAACAATACTGATAAGCAAGAGGAGTTTAAGGATTAGAATGGGGCAGAAACATTTTCAGAATTACAGTGTATTACTACCAGTCAAACATGAGAGTGTTACCTTGTCTGCCTGCATACCTGCCTGCCTGCCTGCCTGTCTGCCTGCCTGCCTGTATACCTGCCTGTATACCTGCCTGCTGGCTCAGTGGGAAGTCAACTCTCATAAGGTTTCATTCATGTTTGGTCTGGCATGGTCATTTGGCAAGAATAGTCAATTAACAATTGTGGACTGTGACACATTATATTGGAACCTGTTTTAAGAAGACACCTTGTATTATGCACACACATATGGGAGTGCCAAGGGTGTCTGCTTAATACAAGTTTGACTGTGTTAGAAACTTAAATGAAGCCATGATAATGAAGAAAACTGAAAGCAACTAATATCTCGTTGACCCAGACCCGTTGATTTCTTGTTTACTTTCTGCATGCAGAGTTACGAAGAAACAGTTACAGTGGATAACACAGCAGAGGGTAAGTACAAGTCATAGTGGCTGATAAAATATTGATTCAGAAGTAAATCTACAATTAATTAGTATTGCACGGTAGTTGCTAAAACGGCAACCTTTTACAACGATAGGGTTGTAAATGCTTGAATTCATTCAGACTGTTAACAGACGATAAGCTTGTGTTGTTCGTGGGACTTTTCTTTTCTTTAATTTCAAAAATGGTACGTGGTGGAACCACGCCTTGCAGCCACCCAACATCACTTTATAACCCAAAGGTGGTCGTATTAAAGGATTTCCTTGCTTGGTGAAGGGGGTTGGGTGGTTTTTGAAATCATTCCAGAGTTACAGTATTTGGCTACAGTGATTCTGTTAATTGTTGTCGTTGATCAATTTTAGATTTTAATGTATTTTAAAGGTTTAACATTTATTTTCTCAGGGGACCCTCCTGAAAACCACCTTATGGTGATTGGAGGCGTCCTCTTAAAATATTATGTATTATTATTATTATTATTATTATTATTATTATTATTATTATTTTAAGTCCTTAAAGTTGGGGCTGGGGCTACATGACGCTTTAATCAGGGCTAATTTTAGTTTCAAAACCACTCATTTGATTTGTCTAGAACAGCAAACGACAAAGGAGTCACGGAAATCTGTTAGAGAGTAAACAGAACTTCAGGACAAACTTTAGAAGTGTTGATCAGTGGAAACGTTTCCTTTCTCCTTTCAGATCCCAATCCACCTCTCGATATTACAACAGAAAACAAAAACATTATTTCAAATGAAGCAGTAAGTTTTACAAAGCTTTCTTTTGATTATTCCTTACCTAGAGAGAAAGCACCCACCAAAACCCATCACTGAATCTATCTTTTGCCCAAACTATATGTTTCACCATACAGAGAGACATGCATACCAGTTTAGGACTTCCTCCAGAGCTAACTAACAATTATCAAATGGCTTTAAGAAGATAGAGCAACACGAGGCTTTGCGCGACCCAGTCACATGGTATAAAATCAGTCTTCTGGGAAGTGCGTTACTCAGTGGGAATTCTGACTACATTTTTGTACACTAACACGAGACACTCAGTGTGAATAGTTTATTGAGGACGCGTCAGTAAGTTATATGTTAGTCAGTCAGCTTTTAAAACAAAAGCTTAATGTAGCAGGGCTGATTCTGTACCAAGTGACTAGGTCGTGTAAAGGGCCTATTGTGTGCATGAAATAAAGCCTTAGTCCTTAGTCTGTTTATATTCAGCCTTGCTTCTTTTTGTCTTCCAACAGGAACTATATTATGAGCTGGAGCAGTCAAGATGGCAGCCGGTAGAGACACTCAACTCGGGACCTAAGCCTCTTGTTGCATAAGTTGCAGTTCACTAGCATTTTATTCTTGGAGTCCTCATTCATAACCAGTACTTTGATATTTTAACTTATTGTCGAGCAGTTGCGGACCTTTTAACTAAGCCACGCGTCGTGATACCGTTCCCAGTCAAACAACGTTTTCATTTGAATATTAGCAACCTGTGGTCGACTTAGACATCGTTATGCTTTTGTACCAAAGATGGAACACGTGAAACTTTCAGGGAAGGGGCTCAATTGGCATCTACACTTCTACACATGTACTAACAAGCTGTTAAGAAAACTAAAACTTTTCTTAACAATCCGTCTTTTGAGCGGGAGGTGAATTGCACGCCACAAGAGAAACGCCTGTCAAGGAATTCTTTCTCGTCAGAACTTTGTGGTTGTGTAAAAAAAAACAAAAACGAAAGCATGCAGGAATTCCTTTTAATAATAATCCAGGTCCTTCAAGTTGTCTTGAATTTCACGGAAAAACCATGTGTTCTTAGTTATCTAAAAATATATATATATATATATATATATATATATATTTTACATTCAATTTCTGGTTCACAATTTTGTGTTCATGGTTTCTCTGTAGTGTCGATTAATTGTACGGAATCTACATGTTGATATATAGATTAATCTCGTTTGGATTATGGGGTGCGCTTATTAAGTCTTGGGAGGACTCAAAAAAGAGTTGTGTTCAGACCTCGCGTGCTTTCACTCTTCGTTTCTTTTTCACTAGCGGGGGAATGGGACCAAGGTTGGCCTGCTTCTGTGAACCGAAACGCTGAAGATGTAGCCGCGTTCAGTCGGGGAAACAAGTAATATTTTTGGCTTATTTACCAAACCAGCGGTTTCAATACGGGGTATTTTTCTAAGCAACATGACATGTCCTGATAAACGTCGTACAATAATTGGAACTCTTCGGGCGTTTCACGAGGATTTGCCAAAAGATTTACTTGCTCCGCCGACTTAATTGAAGCATTCACCTTACTTTGTGTCACAAGTTTCAAGTCTCTAGGCGTTCCCTCTGGCAGAGAACGCCTGGGAACTTGCCTGCTTTAGGTCTATATAAACCAGTTCGCTTTAACAAAATAACAACGTATTTATTTATGCGTATAACTTCTAGAATATATGCTCTTAAGAATAAAGCTGTTAAATCCTATGAACGTCATTTACTCTTCTTTAAAATTGACTTCAATTCTTTTAAAAATTCTCTAAGCCAACGAAAATCCGTTTCAAATTGAAAACAACTTGGCTTAATGATTTACGGAAGCGTACTAGAGTAGCCTTTTTTTGAGTCTGAAGATGTTGCTGCAATGAACGATCTCCTTGTAAAAAACAGTTTCTGTTCTGTTGTGATATAAGGTTCCTTGACCGAGAAAATGATAGATGAATTTCACGTAACTGAGGATATTCCTTTGATACAGATGTGTTTAATAGAAAATGCTCCAGGTAGTTCGTGGCCGACCTCTACAGTTATAGTTATTGTTACTGGGTAATAAATAATGTTTTATCAGCTTCATAATTATCGCAGTTTGCGAGATAAATATGTACTTTCATAAATCAAAACGTTTCTCGGAGGACGGTAGACTGCGTATTTTGGGCTCCTTGTGAGATGATTTCCACGGTCAATCTCCTGCTCATCGACGTGTTGTAGAAACCGTGTTGTCCAAATCATGCGAGACCAATATGGAGTTTCATAAATGGAAACGCTTCTCTGAGGGAGAGAAGTCCCGTATTTTGGCCATCTTGTTGGATGATTTCGACGGTCAATCTCTTGCTCATCGACGTGAGTAGATACCGTCTTGTCCAAATCATGCCAGACCAGTATGGAGTTTCATAAATCGAAACGCTTCTCTGAGGGAGATAAGTCCCGTATTTTGGCCACCTCCTCTGATGATCTCACCATATGACGGTCAACGTATTCATCAACGTTCAGTAGATACACTCCCGAGACGCGTTCATTCCGAAGCAGGCGACGCCGCGCACTGGCGACCGCTGCTCCTGAGATCACCGGTTCTGAACGCGCTGAGGACGGCGAATCGATACCGCTCTCCTTGGATGGGTTTCTATGTAGAGGAAACAAGGTTTCCGCTATGTATTGAGCGGTACCTGAACCTCTTGCCATATTGTCTTGTGCGCGTGTTTTTAAGATTTCTTGCCCTCGTATAACGTGACGCGGGGGTGCATCGGGTAGAGAAGCGATTTCAGACGTTATACGAGAGATGTCTGCAAGATTGAACGGTTCTGAGCGTTCGCCTGTGCCATTGGCTGTTGAAGTCCGCGGATGATTGGCACGCGGGTGGGTGTATTCGTAGCTTAATTTCCGAAGCCAGCTCGCATCGTAGTCGACGCTTGACACGTATTGGGATGACGGCGCTTTATCCAGTGTGGTAAGTGTACTTTTCTTGAATTCTTCCATGTGAGGTCCACCTCCAGAATGCCTTTGCTGGAAAGTACGCTTTTGCGCATCCGTGAAGTCATTTCCTGGCAGTAGCGCTCCAGTCGCCGATATCTGTTTTAATTCTTCTTCCAGTCTACGCTCCCAATCCTCCTCTAAGTTTTCCAAGCCATCTATGGACTGCGTACTGTAGAGTTCGAGGTCAGAATCGTCGTCCAAGTCTATGTCCCAGGAGTTCGAGTCGTTTGCCATACCAAGGTCGACGTCCGAATCAGAACTAAGGTCTAACCTGGGTACGTGGACTTCCGACCGGTTTGCTCCAGTTTGCTCCTTTTTCTTGGTTGACGAACGCTTGGACTTCTTCTGTCGCCACAACCCTCGCGACTCGGAGGTCACAGTTCGATCGCTTGTTGGTTTACCACCACGCAAAGAATAATCACTATGCTGCTTCAAAGTTGCGGAATCGTTAATCGCCGTATTGGTGCTTCGACCGTAGGATTCTGGTGCGTAGGCTCTTTCGACGGTTTTGTCTCTTTCTCTCTTTAAAGTTTCCTGTAAACTTGCTTCGCTTGTTAGAGGAAACAGCAGATTTTGTCTTGAATCTCCAAATGCCTTTCGATCGGTTGGTCTGGGAGAAGGGTCCCGGAGTAGAATGTTATCAACGTCATCTCGCCTTTTGGTTTCGTCTAAGATCTCTTTCTCCCTCTTCAGCTGGATCTCCCTCTCTTTCAACCGTCCGATCCATTTTCTCTCCAGATCTCGTCTTTGGGAAGACAACTCGCTTTCCAACTTGTCCTTCTCCTTCATCTCCTTGTCGAGGATCTGCTTTTCTTTGGAATGCCTTTCCAAAGCGATTTTCTCGCGCGTGATCCTTGCATTCAGGTCTTCCACTTGTTGTCGCTTGAGCGCCAATAGCTCTTTTTCTCGCCTTAGATTCTCCTCGATGATGCTCTCGTAACACTTGGATCTTGCACTGTCTGAGTTACTGCTGTTTTGAGGGCTGCTGATGCCCGCTAATTGCCTGGAGAGCTTTTCCTCCACAGCTTTGTGCTTTTCTCTAAGTTGCCAGAGTCTTTGTACCAACACTCTCCTTTGCTGTTCCAGATGGTCCAGTTGGCTACGCAGCATCTCTTGGAGCCTGCGATCCGTGAACTCAGCAGAGTCCATCATTCTTTTGATTTCGCTGATCATGTTCTCGGTCTCTTGAGCATGGCTTTTGATATCCTCTTCCTGTTTGACCTTGTTCTCTCTTAGTTCTTGAAGCATCTCCACCAGGCCGTCCCTGCTGAAGTGTTTTTCAGGCGACAACGACACCGACATGACACTAGTTTGGTGTATCGACGTCCTGCTCGTGTCGCCGAGTACTCCAAACTTGGTCTTTAAGTCCAGTATTTCTTGTCTCAATTTTAGTTCCAGAGTGTTCTTTTCTTTCATTAACTGTTCCATCAATTTGATGAGTTGTAACACGTGAGAACCTTCGCTAAATGTTTCCGACTCGCCAACGCCGTTTGCAACAAAAGGTGACCTCTTCATAAGGTTCTTCAAGTTTTCATTTTCCCGCTTGAGTCTTTCATTTTCCAGTTGTAGCTGCTCGATTGTCTTTTGCCCAGCACCGAACGAAGTTCCTCGAGATTTCTCGATGTGTTCACGAAGTTTTCGATAGAGTTCCGAATTTTCCCGACGGACTTTTGACAGTTCTTCAGTTGCCTTATTCAAACCTTTCTGGTGACTGAGGGCTTCACCCTTACATGCATCGATGCGGTCAAGAAGAGTTTTAATATCCCTCTGAAGCTCTTTTATCTCACGATCTTTCTTTTTGATGAGTTCTTCGCTTTCAAGAAGTTTTGACTTATATTGCTGCTCAAGTGATCTTCTGTGTTCGTCCATCTCATCTTGCTTTTCTCGCAAGAGACGCTGAAACTTGTGATCGAATTCTGCACGTAACGTTCCGATGTCTTGCATGTGTTCTTCAGTGCGTGACTTGGACGCGTTCTGTTCCTGCACCAAGTCTTCAAGTTTCTCCATGAGCTTACTAAATTCTTCAGAGTGTTTCTTGTTGATAAGGTCCTCCCGTTGCCTAAATTGCCGCTCAAGCTCGCTCTTCGTGAAGTCCATTTCCTGTTGGTGCGCATTGACGGTACGTCTCATCTCTTCCTTTAGACTCTGCACCTGGTCGTTAAGCTCGGTGTTCTCCACCCTTAAAGACGCCAACATAACTTCATATCCAAGCTTAATACTTTCTGTGTCGTCACTCTCCTGGAAAGGTTTGTTCTCGGCAGCAGACAACTCTTCAACTCGAGATGACAGCTGCACAACTTCCACACTCATCTGTTCTTTCAAATTTTCGCACTCTTGAATTTTGTCCTGCAGTTGTGCTTGAAGAATTTTTAACTCAGCTTCGTGTTGGCTAGTGACGGTCTCTTTGAGCATGCCCAGCTCAATCTGCGACTCTTCCAGTCTAAATTTCAGTTCCCCGATCTGGTTTTCGTTTTCACTTCTCGTCGTTTCCAGTTGTGCGATTTGTTCCTGAAGAGTCTGATTGATATGCTCAATTTGCTTCTTGTGCTCACTCTCCAAGGATTCCTTCTGGGACAGTAGCTCCTTATCATGCTGGGTCTGGAGATCGGCTTGGAAAGCACTCTCGAAGATGAGCTGGTCTTTCAACGTTTCGATTTCCTTTTCGTACTCCTCTTTGAGCTGTTCCTTCTCTTTTTTGACCTCGTCAACTTCTTGCGCAGCATGTTTTAGTTGTGTTTGACTCTGTTTTAACAACTTGGTTTCTAATTGGGTCAAATCGACCTTGTGCTTCTCCACAAGAGAGTGTCTTTCGGTCTTGATTAAGTCAAGCTCTTTATTCGTGGTATCCACTTTCATTTCTAAATCAAGTTTCTTTTTCTCGAAACTCGTTTCCAAAACTTCTAACTGTGCTTCATGCTTGCTCGCTTGTTCCGTCATTTGCACTTCGTGTTCTTCGTCTTTCAGTTGATTTAACTGCTCGAGATTTTCCACCATACCTTTCAAGGATTCCACCTCAGCTTCGATCTCTTCTCGGCTAATCCGGTGCTCGTCCTCCATTTTGGCAAAGATGTTCTCGTAATTTTTCTTCAGCTGCTCAGTTGTTTCTTCATACTCCTGCTTTAACTCACTCCGTATGCGTTCTAGATTGTGAACGTATTCCGAACTCTGGTTTTGCATGAGTGCTCTCATTTCTTTCTCTAATCTAGATGCCTTGTCTTTTTCCACGTCGAGCTCACTGCTAACCTCTTTGATGGTCTCCTCGTGTGCCGTTATAGTATTGTTCTTCTCTAGTACAATGCTGTCCAGTTCTTGTAGTTTTGTTGCGTGGTTATTTACTTCTTCTTTGGTTTCCTCCAACGTCTGCTTTATAGTTGCGCTTTCATTTTTCATAGAAACCAGTTCATCTTGCAGCACTTTTTTCTTCTCTTCAAAAGCATCTACCAGTCTTTGTCTATCGGAGTATGCTTCTTCAAGCTTTCCTTCCAGTTTCACTCTCTCGCTGCTTAGCTGCTCTAACAGGTCAGCGACTCTCTGTTGCAAGGCTTCCTTTGATTCGACCTCGGTATTAAGCGTTCTCTCGAGGCTGTGAAAAGACGAATCACGGTCCTCGACCAGTCGTTTGTTTTCATCTCGAAGCTCTGTCACCTCATTCTCTAATTTCTCTACCTGGGCGGCAAATTTTTGACCAGAACCTTTTAAGTTTTCCTCGGCGCTGCTCGCTCTCTCCGACGCCTCCTCTAATTCATTGACCAGAACTTCTATCTTCTCGTCGTACATATGAACAACTGCTTGCTTTGCGGCATCGAGATTTTTTACCATGGTTTGTAACTTCTCCTTCTCATCGGTAGCATTGTCTAGTTGTTGTTTCAGGGCTTCCTTTTCACCTTCCATCGATTGAACGCTTTGTTGGCGCTCTTTTTCACTCTCGTCGAGACGAGCAGATAAATGTCGGACTTCCTCGTCTGACGTCTTCAACTTTTCCTCATAAGTCTCCACTAGTTTATTGATGTCAAGTTCGCTCTTCTCCTCCACCTTCTTCAGCTCCTCTTGCAACCTCGAGGCCTCTTGTTTTATCGTAGTGAGCTCAACTTCTAAAGACTCGACCTTCTCTCTGTATTCTTCCAAAGACTGTTCCCGTTCTTTCTCACTTTCGTTATCAGTTTTATTGTTTTCCTCTTCTGTAATTTCTAAGTTGGAGATCTTTTCTTCAAGACTGCGCACTTTCTCTTCGTATTCCGCCACAATCTGTTCCAGTTTGGCTGCATTTTCCTCGGTCAATTTTTCTTCCACTCCAGTCAAATGTTCTTCAATTTCTTTCAAGCGTTCAATTTCCTCTGTGAGCACGTTACTTTCCTCTTGTGATGAGCTTAATTTTCTGCTGAGATCATCATTTAACTTCATCAAGTCTTTTATTCTGGTTTTCTCGGCAACAAGTTCCTCGTATAGTACTCTAAGCTTCCCTTCGTATTCATCTTTGAGTTTTTGTCTCTTCGCAGACGACTCCTTTGATAGTTGCTCTCTTTTCTTGGCAATCTGTTCCTCGAGCTCCTCTTTCAAACTTTCGAGCTCTTTCTCGTGCTGACTCAAAAGTACACCAAATTTGTTCTGCCCTTCGTCTTCTAGTTCGTTTATGGTAATTCTCTGTTCTTCTGTAAGTGTTCTAAGAGTCGCCAGTTCTTGCTCGTACCTTTGTCTTTCTTCTTCAAAGTGAGCACCACGGACCATTTCAACTTCTTTTTGGAGCGCTGCAATCTCTTGAGAAGAACTAGAGTTGACCGCTTCAAGTTCCCTTATTTTAACCGTGAGGGAGTCTATCTCTTCTTTCAATTTTGAAACCTCTAGCTCGTAGTTTTCTTTTTCTTTTTCCAGTTTTCGGAGTTGCTCTACTTCAGCGCTGAGATTTCGCAAGATGTTTAATTCCGACATGAGGCCCTCCACGTCTGTTGCATGTTGTTCATCGGAAATTTTCTTTGCTTCTTCAAGGCGTTCAAAGCTTTCTGCTGAAGTCTTAAGCTCTTGCTCGAGCTCTTGCAAGCGTTCTTCTAAATTCTGTTTTTCTTTACCAAGACTCTCTCGAGTTTCAGACCATTCAGTCTGTAACGTAAATATTTCCAGTGCGTGTTCGTCTCTAGCTTTCCTAGAAGCACATTCTAGATCTAAATGTTTAGTCTGAAGCTGATCAAACTCATTCTGTATCTTTTTCACATCTTCTTCAAGCCTTTCTTTCTCGTATGAAAGACTAAGCAATTGTTTTTCGCGACCTTGGTTTACATTACTCTCTTCCTCCAGTTTGGACCTCAGGGATTCCAATTCTTCGCTTTGCTTGTTGTCTGACGCCCTCTTGGCCTCCTGCAGCTCGAAACAATTGTGTCGAGAATCCTCCAAGTCTTTCTCTAAATCTGAGATTTTGCCACGCAGCTCTTTGATCAACTTATTGTCTATCCCTTCCTTTTTCTGCTCCAACTCCGCGTATGCACTGTTCGCCGATTCTAAACCTTGGGTAAGTTCCAAGATAGTCGAAGACAGCTTGTTTTTCTCGCTTTCCAGATTCTCAGCCTCGGCTTTCTTTGTCTCTAACTCGCCTGTCAGCGTACCTATGGCAGTCTTCAAGTCGTTCATTTCAGTTTCATACTTCTCCAACAACGCTCTTTTCTCCTCCTCTAGGCTTGCAGCTTTTTTGATGTAGACATTAACTTCTTCGTGGAGAGTTTTTATCTCTCCTTCTTCCATCTCGTCATACTTTTTCTTCAAGTTAGCAAGTTGCGCTTCGTAGTTTTCCATCAACGACTTCTTCCCTTCCTGCAATTCCTGGAGTTTGTTCTTGTAGAGTTCCAGCTCACCTTTAAGGGTAGTCAAGTACTGCTCCTCGATTCCTTTATCTTCCTTGTAACGTCCTTCAACCTCGTTCATCTTGCTCTTTAACTCCGACAGATCGCGTTCGTACTTTTCGGACAGCGATTGGTTTTCTTTTTCTAGTTCAAAACACTTATCTTTGTAAGGTTCCAGTGCCTCTTTCACTTCCGAAAGCTGTCTCTCGAACTGTTCTTTCTGCTGTGCTTCAAATTGCATCTTCTCTTGCATGAGAACTTCTCTGCTCCGTTGCTGAACTTCGTCCATTTGAACCATAATGTCAGATACTTGTCGTTCGTATTTGTCTTTCAGTGTTTTGTTGCTTTCTTCCAATTCAGACCTCGTCTTTCCAATGTCTTCCTCGTATAACTTTCTCCAGTGCTGTTCAGTCTTGTTCAGCTTCTCGTTCAGTTCGCTTTGGTACCTTTCCTTCAGCTCGTTAGCCTTCTTTTCCACTAAGGCTTTACATTGTCGCCGCATCTCCTCTTCGATCATTTTCAATTCCTGTTGCTTTTCAGCTTTGAATGCTTGCACCTGCGCCTCCACCGTATCCATTTGTCGCTGATATTCAACAACTTTGTCTTTCTCGATGCGCAGCTCTTGCTCCAAGGTCTCGACTTTTGAACGGTACTCCTCCTTAATTATGACTACCTGCTGCTCTGTGGTGTCTTGTTGGATGACAGATCTTCGGCGTTCTTCGGAAAGCTCTCGTAATTTTCCCAACAACTCGGCCACCTCTTGAGCGTGGCTGTCCCTGAGGGCTTGAATCTGGTCCTCCATGTCCGCTGTCACTTGGTCCAGGTCGTTTTGATACTGGCTCTTCAACTGGCGCTGCAGAGACGCAATCTTTTCTTCGTTCTCGTTCTTCTGACGCTCTAGTTGTTGCTCCCACTCTTCCTCCATCTTGCTGAGACTTTCATCCAGTTCGCCTTGATACTCCTCGCTCAGTCTCTTGGCGACTTGTTCGATCTGTTGCTGGTAGTGAGCATGAAGCTCCGCTCGAAGAGCCTCCATCCCAGCGGTATCGCTTTGTCCGTCATGACTTAGGACAATGACTGACTTCACATTCATAGAACCTTCTTCTCGGTCGGCACCTCCATTTTCCACTTCACCGTTATGCACGCCAGAGTTTGAACTTGCGGTGTTGTAACCTTTATTACTTGTGTCCTCTTTCAACTTCTCCTGCCTCAACTTCTCTTTAAGTTCTTCAACTTCAGCGTTGGACTTTTCCAATTGCGATATAATGTCGTCTATTTCCACCTGGTGCTGATGCGTGAGGCGATCTTTCACCGCCATAATTTCAACCCGATACTTGGTCCGCTCCTCTTCCAGGAGATTTTCTACGTCGCTATCACGATTTTGCAGCTTCGTCTTCAAGTCCGCATTCTCTTTGACATATTTGCGGCGCGATTCTCCGCTACTCGAGTCGTCGCTACACTCCGCTCCTGTGCTTTCCTCGTTCTTGTCAATCCGCGCTCGTAACTCCTCTAGCTCCGTCTCATACTGGCTTCTTACCTCGTCCAGGCGCTCTTCAACCAATTTCTCAAAATCCAGTTCTCCATTTCCCAAACGAGCACGAAGACTTTCAACCTCCGCTTCGTGTTTGTCGAGCTCGTTTTCCAACTCCAGCTGCGCTTCAAGTAGCTTCTTCTGCAGGTTGCCAATGTGATAGTTTTTGTCCTCAATTGTGGTCCGCAACTTTTGAATCTCTTTCTCAAATTCCGCTTTCAACTTCGAACACGAAGGATCATTGGAGTCTTGGGAAACTGGTGCTTGATTTAAGTGCTCAGAAAAACTGGTGGACAACACCACGAGTTCCTGTGCGTGTTCTGCGTTCAGTTGCTCCTTCTCTTTGATCAGCTCCTCAATTTGACCTTCTAGGTTTTGAACATCTTGTCTTAAAGTGTCTCTCTCTTCAACTACCTATAAGATCAAAGACGACAGGTATTAAGTTAGAGTCAGAAAATGTTTCAAGAGTACTGGCCTACGTGTAACCGTTCCCACTTCCCAGTTTCCACGGGGAGTGGGTACGGCTACACGAAGGCTACCTGAATATTCAATGTATCTTGACATTGGACGTGCGCCATAGGAAATGCAGGAGAGTGAACACACTGAACCTATATTTGACGTGATTTCAGATGGGGAAGGTGGACGGGGATTACAATAGAGTGTAATGTCAAACACAAGCTATAAATTTCACAAGCAAATGACTTCATGGAACGTTTTCAGGTTTCTATGGTGAACAAACAAATAATCAAATGGTTGCCTAACATGGACATGACCTCCATGAGGATGGCCCAAGTTTCTTTATATGCTTCCAAACGTTACACCCTTACCCCGTCTACAAGGAAGATTCATAAGCTATTTTGCCTTACCTGTTGAAATCCTTTGAGCTTCATTTTAAGTTTTGAAATCTTTTTCTCCATGTGCAAATGCCCAGTAGACCCAGAGGACTCTCCAGACTGCTCCTCCTCAGTTGACATCAATCCTCCACTGTCGCTGTCATCCATTTCGTAAGACAGTTGTTACTAATAGGCAAAAGAAGAAAACAAACATTTGTTGAAAGTAAATAAGCCTGTTAAAGGATTAAAATTGTTAACTCCTGCCCAATTCCTGTAAACCTACAGTTTTGTACCACAGGACTTGAAAGTCACAGGACACCCAAGCAGGGGATGGTGACCCTGTGTGTATTTTTAAATACTTTTTGGCAAGCTCAGAATTTCCATATTAAAGAAACATCCAAGTGTAAAACAGATAAGAAGTGTACTCAGCACCCAGAACTTTTCAAGTTGTCAAAGAAATGTTATAAATCATGTCAGCAGGTGAGGAAATTAACTTTGCCAGCACAAGAGGGCAAAGTGGGACGAAATGGAAGGTGAGTAACTTTGGAACACAGATATCACAAGTGACACACTTATTAAGTCCCCTCCCATCCCATTTCTGTGTAAGGCGAGCATAACAAATGCCCCTCCTCCCCATGGGTGTTGAGTAGAAGAATTCCATTCTGGCAATGTAGTGATAACCCTATCGAGGCAGGGTTTGTGACTACTCGTAATAAAATTCCAGTGAGAACGATTCTGAGACTAATTAGTCATTATCAAGAAGAATGTTTCAAAGGGAGGGGGCTCTCTTTGTGAGAATGTAAAATCCCCCAAAAATCTCCTCCACTAGTTATTTTGAAATCTTCATTCCAGTCCCCGAGTCCCTAGTTTGAGTCCCCTAGAACCATAGCTGGGTTGATGCAAAATTCTAATACATTTGTTCTACATTTCAACCTCAAATGAAACTGTACAAGGGTGTCACAGAAGTGGTTATTGACACATTACAAAACTAAATAGCAGACTTGCACTTCTCTGTCTTACTTATATGGATATTATTATTAATAGCTTAGTTCTGTTATGAACATTTACCTATTGTAGTTCTGGATTGAGGCCATACAGATGTTGTGTCTGACTCATTATATATGTCATTTAAAACAAAAAGATAGTAACATGAATCGATTATCAGGATACCAATCTTATGACCATGGGAGAGCTCTCCTGCTTTTTGCATTTTGCACAACAAACTTTTGAAAAGAATATTCACAGAAAATGAGGTAGTCCAATATATTGTTTTGGAGTCCAGAGAGCAGCTGATCAATCACATGAGTGCAGCCTGAATTGAACACTGTCTCATTTACATCACTTCACTTTAAAAAATATTTTACTGGCTGCAATAACAAAATATAATTATACAGTACTTTATCACAACAAATTTCCAACATCCCTAGACTGTGCCACTTTAGTGTAGATAGTAATATACAGGTAGAAAAACTTCTAACTGTAAAACAGATGAGAAGTATTTTTCAAACAAATAATTAATTAGAAATCCTGTCAATTAGTAGGGAAATTAAATTTGTTCACAAAAAAGGCAGGTTGGGACAGAGTGGAAGAAGAGTACAACTCGTGAAATTAGATACCTCATGTAACACATTCATTCTGTTCCTTTAAATCATCTCTCTCTGGAAAGATATTTTTAAATTACCCAACACAGTACTAGGTAATGAGTACTACATGTAAAAATTATGAGAAAATTGGATACGTTTTGAAACAAAAACTGGCATTCACGATGTTACTATACGTCCTTCTTTGAATTCAATTTGTAAGTACAATGAATTTGTTTTGGTTTTTGTGTTTCAACTAATTAACCCTTGAATGCCTCATATGGCTATGTTTACCAACAATTTGATCTCAGTTTCATGTTAAAAAACTGAAAGATGTATATAGAACAACAATTTTCGATCTACATATAGTTTATAGCTGTGTTCCCCAGCGTAAATGCATTCAAACAACATTTTTTTTAACGTTTGTAATTAATTGTTATGCAAAACTCGAGTGGCCTGTGCATACAAACACGACCGAGCGACTAATATACAAATGGTAATGAATATTTTTCACGAAATATATAGATGACTCATGACTTTGAAACGTGACTTGGACAGAGTAAATAGATTGAAAATCTAGCCGGGGTTGTATTATGGTCATCACATTTTAATTGTGTGTCGAAATCGTAAAATGACTTCTCGTCGAATTTGACTTGTTCAATACAAACGGTGGTCACGCTTTGACAACAATTTCCAAAATGTTTTCAGTATAAACAAATTGCATGGCAATCTCACGAGGCGCCTCTATACTCAAATACTGGGGTAGAAAAATTAAAAATAATGTCTTCAAGTTGGCAAATGTCACTTTTAATAGTTAACCACGTATATTTCACCTGCTGCAGCGCGCTTAAAAATAAATTAGAATCTTTCATGTTCCGCAAAAATATATTGTCAGCGACGAGTTCCGACACTTGAATATATTCAAACCCTACTCTAAAACCGCATTTCCACTCTGAGTTCAATTCTTGTGGACTTGTGAAATGTGACATTGAATTTGACTTTTAAGAAACTGAAATGTTGTCACATTCGCAGAGCACTGTCGATGAATTGTCTATATTTTTGCTTTAATGGCTCCGATCTTGGCCTAAAAAGGGCCAAACATTGCCCACGGCTATAATGATAGGTCGTTAAATATTCCGAGTGATCTGACGTTGACAAAAATGTCTCTGATGGGGCTAAAAAAGAGAAAGACTTCTCGATCCCCATGGGATTTCATTAGTAATTGTAATGACAGTGTAGTGATAATACACATGTAGAAGCCAAAACGTAATTCGTTGAATCAAAGCAGTACATCGTGATTAAAACATTTTCAACATGTGTAGTATTCATCTTGTCGCTCGACAAGTCATGCAGTTTATCAAATATTGTCCACCAATACAGATAAATATTTGATAAACTCCGTATGTCGTTTCCCTGAAATTTAACATGGCCAAGTTTGACGTCTAACGGAAGTAGATGTGCTGGCTTCAAGACGAAATCGGTCATTATGTTCAGGTGCCGATGTCTTCATTGTGAAAGAATACATGGCTCGAGTTTGACAGGAAGACACTTTGTTCAATTTCCATATAATACTTTTATAAAGACTCGATCAGTATAAAACCGTGAGTTTGCACTTTTTTGTGGTAACGCTGGAGATCACAAGGGGACAATGTGCTCATGACGACAGCTTCGAACGTACAAATCGATCGAGGCCTTCCATGAATCAGTTCGCGATATTGGAATGGGCAGAAGTCGTAGGGTATCTACGTGTTTCTTTCAGACTGCTTCTAAATCAAATAAAAGTTCTCAAACGTTCCAAAATACAACACCTTGTTAGTTTCACAGATGAAATGTAAACATTACAACCGTAAGCTCGTTCGTACCTTTGGTCCGCGGCTTTACTCGTCTTTGTCTTGGTTCTCTAATCCTAATTTGAGTTCAATCGCAGACACATCTCGACTTGCCGGCTTTCGCTTCCCTGGAGACCGTATGGAGATAAGAGTTCGACGATCTGGCGCGCGATTTTCGAAACTCAACAAGTTTACTTTTCCAAGGTCGAATTACAGTTGAGAGGGTAGAGTCGTTGTGGACATGCCGGGTTTTGATTTCCAACACCGGAGCGCAAGAAGTCCTTGAAATCTGCTTGAACTCGAACGCCAAGAGTCCTCCTTCCGAATATCAAGTGAGTGATGTAACGCTGTAGCTGCTGAGGTGGAAAAATAGAACCACTTAATGCCTCCGCGCTGATATACACAACTGACAGTCACGAATGGATATGCACGCTGTACGTCCACCGCCAGTGTTGTGTTCATGTATTCGCGAGTCAATTAAAATTGACCAATCAAAACGCCGTATTCGGACACCCTGCAAACAGCCCTCTATTGTCTGTGTTGTGGAAGCCGCTCGATCATTTGCATTCTGTCGTTTTACTGAAAAGAGCCTCTCGATAGAGTCTCAGTGAATGTCAAACAGTCTTGACAGGAACGCTCTTTAGGTCGATTTGAGATTGCTCTGGATAGAAATAATGTCAACATTTCAAATTCTTGAAAAGCACAGGAGACAATAAAGGCAATGCTGTAACTTGTTTCGTTTATAAAACGATTCAGCAAGGCAATACCATGCAATACGACTCTTTTTGGCGATTGCGAGATCCACTGAATTCTAAGACAATATTTATAGCATAACGATTTACAGCTTTAACTGGGAGTGTTGTAAGTTATTTGGTGCCAAATAATTACATTAGCTGTATTGGAAAGTCAAGGACGCAATGAAACCAGGGAAATTCATCGTTGGTCCGTCAGTTTGGTGCTGAGAAAAGTTCATTGTCGGAAAGTTGTTTCAGAAAAGCACCATTATTCCTTGCGTACAATGGGCACCTGCATTGAAAAACAAAGAAAAGGGAATAATAACAGAGCAAATGTGGCTTTTAATTTCCAGAGGCAAATAGTGTTAGCCCAACGTCACGGACAAGTTAAGGTGCTCATTGAAAGAACGCGCGGCGCTTGAGAAGAAAGAATAGAGCGTGGACAGCCTGAACAGGCAAAGTGTACTCAAGAATATTTCAGAAATAGAAAACATTTCGCGTATTTCTATCGAGTTTGAGTAGAATTCGTCTTGCACACTAATGCAAATTCTGGAATCCTGATTGGCTGAGAAACACGGAGATAGTGTTTTCTAGATAAAAGAACTTTGTTTCGATTGTCAAAATTCAAACTCTCTCTGTTCACACCACCGGGGGTTTTCTAAATACATTTGCAATGGTCTAACATCCTATCAAAATGAGGTATAAATATATACACACTTTTTTATATAAAAATATTGTTTTCCCGGCCCAGGCTGAATATTCTTATTTTTCTACCGATTTTAGGCTGAAAATACTCCTTGTGAATACAGTATTCTTAGATTAGTTTAAGGAATACAAACTGAACTATACCGATTGCATCGAAGTAATCTTGGCCGGCCAAACTGCAGGCAGTAAAGCCTGATAACTTCCAGCAGAGATGTTTAATTAGCATCGAACATACAGCTAGTGCTGTTTTTTTTTTTTTTTTTTCTCTTCTTCTTCTTCTTCTTCCTCTCTTTTTTTCTTTTTTTGGCTAGTTTTGTCTTTTATACGAAGAAAGGAAGAATTATTTTCATACGGTTTAGTTTAAACATACATTGTATTTACAAATTTTCTGCACACAAAATCGAATGTTCTTATTCTGAGACCTTCTTAAAATACTCTTAAAATTCGCAAATTCAGTTAGTCTCGATATTTTTATGAAAACATATTATCTTATATAAATAAAGCACAGTGTAGCCTATTAATTTTAATAAACCTTTGGTGGCGGCGTATGGTGAAATTTCGTATTCCGGGCGATAGAAGTTTTTCAAGTTTATGTTGTAAGAAGAAAGAAAAACTCTTTCGACCGCTGACAAAAAAAATTGCACAATTTATCAAAATACAAATGCAAGTTTTCTGCAGATGGTGTTTATTTACGGTCAATACCATCTTTATAATTAAAATCATCCGACTTTTTGTTAAAACACAAGACAATTCAGAACAACATGTAGAAATTACAAAAAAAAATTGCTTTCATTGATTCAAACCACATCTGCAAACAAAAGAAACAAATGTATTACTTCGTACTAATTACATAATGGGATATTAATGACTTTCTTTCAGTAATTTTTTTCATAAGCCTGTACATGCAGACTGATCGAGTCAATTCAACTACTGAAGAAATAAATGTAATACGACAACTTATTGAAACGATGCGGTAAAAATCGATCAACCGGCTAAAGTAAGTTGGTTGTCGCAAGAACTCTAGTCCGTCCATGGACGCTTTTTTTTTTTTTTTGCTACGAGTTATTGCGTTCGACTTTAGGAGAACGCAATCATAATCTTGTGCAGGCGGAAAAAATCTCGATTTTGTGGTTGATCCAAATCGACGCCATCTTGGATTTNCCCCCCCTCCCCCCTTGCGTTCGGGCTTTTTTCAAACCCTCTGCGGATACTTTGACTCGTTGCGGTCTCGACAACTTGTCACGACAAAGTATAGGGTCTGTGGACTGACTACAAGAACTTGGTGATTCAGAAGTGAGCTGTGTTTATTTTGTAGTTTGGACAACAGAACTAGAGCTAGTGAAATGATAATATAAATTGTTCCCTTGAAATTGAGAAAAACAACACCACTGTCTAGTTCCCTGGGGTTGTCTCTCTTTGGGCCGGTAGTGAGGTGCCCGTAGTGTTGTGGGCCTGTTGAGCCAGAAACGCTCCGCCAAAACGCGACCTAACCATCAAGCACTGCGGTCCATGTTTCCCGCTCTTTGTCGTCGAAACGCAACGGCGCCAGGGGACGAGGCAGTACATAGCGAGTAGAACGATTGTTTCCTAACCGCGTTGTCTAAGATCGCGGGGGACCTGGTTACCACGCTCGTTGGACTCTTTGTGAAAAGGTTTGAGCAGTAACTCGGGATCTCTTCTTTTCTTTGACTATCCTTGTTGGTATACATATATTTTTCTTTTTTTTGACTTTGCCCCGCTCCCCGAGGACTGAACTGAAAGCCTTGAACAGCCAAGCGACTGTCACTCGCAGTCATATCTCTCCAATTACTTACCAATTAGACTACTCAGCCAATCTCAAACCATAGTAAAACCAAAGCCAAAGTAATTGCCTGATTACTTTCGACACTCAACTGAAAACCGCTGTAGCCTCAAGGTTAAAAAGAAAAAATAATAATTAACCTCGCTACTGCTCTTCCTTTTTTTCTCGTGACATATCTGTAAGGTAGCTGGTGCAGATTTTTTAAGCTAAACCAAATAGCTAAGCGTATGTTCCACGTCAAATAAAGTATTGTTTTTTTTTTTATTGCCACAACCACTATGCATACAGACTTTTTCTGGTGCAGGTGCGGTCCAGCTCCTGTTATCAGTTTTCCTATTAGTATGATTTTTCTTGCCTGCCTGTCGTTGTCAACCAGTTTCAGTGTTGGCAGAGAGAGCTGGTGAGTAGAGGCAGAGACATAAACAATAGGCTCCATTTGACACGAAAATACGCTCGAATGTTTTTCCGCGGAGATCATGATCTGTTCCTCAAAACTCACAGTTTTCCGAGAGCGATTCGCTCTCGGAAAACTGTTCGCATCTCGGAACAGATAATGTCCGCGGACAAGAGATTATCAACCTTGATAATCTCTTGCGATAATGTCTTTCCGCGGACAAATATCTGAACATATTTTAAAAGTCAAATCGGGAATATTGTATTTTTTATCTTTTATTCGTGTCGCCTGGTTTTCGCAACACGCGAATTTTATAATTGGGGAATATCACTCGGATTTTCCCGAGTTTTAGCTAGGGCATATTCAGTCAGGTGGCGCATTTAGGCCAATCACGTGTGAGCGAAAACATTTGATGAATTGTAAATGTCGATATACATAAAAATAACTATCCAGCATATCCTTATAACACTTAGAACAATGCAGGAGAGAGCATACACTTTAAATCGAGGATAATTTAGTTGTTTATTGCTTAATTTCCTGATTGTCTTCAATTCGAAACATATGAAAAACTGTATTAATAAACCTCGTTGGAGTCCCGCAAGCGCGAGAACCCTGCGCGAGCTCCACTCTTAATCCCACACGTGTAAAAACTTCAACGTTGCTTCCTCGTTTGAAGCAAGGATGGCGGAAAGAAATCGTGACAGCTTTGTTGGGTAAAAAATTCAGTTCGAAAGCGCTTGGGGTTTGTTTTATTTATGCAATTAGAATGCCCAACTAGAATGTTCAATTGAAAGCGTCGTCGTACGGAATATTAATTGTTCGAGTATTTTAGCCTCACCATGAGGGGGTCGTACAGGGGTATTCTCCTGATGCGTGATTAGCAGATTTTATTTCCCGTGAAACGTGAATATTTAAGAAATTATTCTTCGTGATCCGTGACCTGAAGGTTTGCGTGACCCGCGAAGAACTTGAATTATTCACCGATATTTATGATTTCACCACTCAATTCTGCATGATTTTGAGACGCAGGTCCTCCGAATGTTTAGAGTACTCTATCGAGAGTGACTTAA